TTAAGTTTAGATATCTACATTTAATAAGATAAATTTTTAAATTTTGAATTGAATTTAAAATAAAACTCTAATTTTTTTAAAAAAAATTAAGACTAATAAATAATATCCTTATATTTATATATAAGATATAATTATAGTAATAGTACTTAACCTTTTTTTTTTAAAATCTAATTGAGAGTTAGTTATTCTATATTTTAGGAGTTTGAACTCATACTTTTAACCCCGAACACTCTTCTTTTAAAATTGTTGTTTATTTGTCAAAAATCTCGAATATGAGAGGGGATTCAAACTTTTAAACATAAGTTGTGCTCTTTTTAGTTTTTAGTCTCTTCTTTTTGATTTAGAGGCATGATATATAATTTTTAAATTTTAAATGTGCTGATTTATTATAAAATTTAAGTAATAATTACCCAAAATTTAAGTAATACTTACCCATTTAAATTTAATTTTATTGATCACACAACCAAAACAAGAGTAATAAATAAATAGATGCTATATTGTTAATTACAAAATCATCTATTATGGATCTTAATAACTCATATAAAAATAAACAATAATATAGGGATAATTTTTTTATACAATATTTTTATATAATTTTCATATGTTATTAAATAAGTAATAATTACCTAAATTTTAAGTAATGCTTACCCATTTAAATTTAATTTTATTAATCACACAACCAAAACAAGAGTAATAAATAAATAGATGCTATATTGTTAATTACAAAATCATCTATTATGGATCTTAATAACTCATATGAAAATAAACAATGATATAAAGATAATTTTTTTATACAATATTTTTATATAACTTTCAAATATTATTAAATAAATAAATGCACTAAAAATCATATGTCCTAAATGAATAAAAAATTAATTATTTAAATAATATATAAGATTGTACCAAAAAATAATACAAAAAAATTATTTTTAAATTATTTTCTATAAGGATATTATAATGATTAAAAATTTAACAATTATCACATTGCCTGTTTTTTATTTATAAGACTTAAATTTAAGATTTTATTTAAGAGTAACTGAACTCTTTTTATACATATCAATATATCATTGATAAATTTTATTTTATTTTGTTAGAAAACATATCAACTATTCCATCTACGAGAAAAAAATGGAATTGGAGGCAGAATATAAATTTTTTTTAATTAAAAATGATATAATTATAATGTCTTTTGTAGTATTATAATTTACAATTTTGATGTGTTATTTTATAATTAATTATTTTTATACATAACTCTATATATAATATTGTATATATATTAATATATTATAAATTTATAATTTTATATATTATTATAACTATATTATTATTATTTTTTAAAAGTTTTCTAAAACATAGGTTAAAAAATTATATTTTTAATAACACTAGGTTGCAGAATATTAATTTGGGAGAAGCGCGTATTTCCAGCTTCTGGAGCTAATGCAAATGCTATTACGTTATGTGCCCCCGTCACTCGCCGTCCCTAGAAGTTTCAGAAATTGGCAGCATGCTTGATTCCGTAGGCATAGGCAAAATCTTCAAAGTTTGTGACGCATAATGGTACCTTCTATTTCCTATTAGTCAAATATGCACGTCCCTTTCCCAACGTTTTCTTTTTCGTCGACCACACGTTGCTGCCTCTCTCTAGAACGGAGTTGAATGCCCCAATTAATCTTAGCATTAATTAGGGACCATAAATGGAAGACAGCTGAGAACTTATTGTGATTTTGGTCAAAAGCCATATTTTCATATCTAATCAATTACCTTATTTATTTATAAATCGATAGATAAGTTGACAAGATATTTTTTTATTTTAATTAAAAATTTTGATTTTAAATTTTAAAAATGTAATTTTATTAAAATTTGTGAGGAGAATTTTATCGTTTGTTAAATCTTATTCGATTTGAATCTTAATTAATCGGTGACTCAATAAATTTTCAGATATCGAATAATTCATAAAAAAAAAAAAAAACAATTCCCTTACCTTACCGTTCTTTAAAGAATATCTAATTGCTAGAAAAGTATAAAAAAATCTTCTAATTGTTAAAATAACGAGGCTATGTTTACTTTTTTTTTTTGTTTTTGAACATGCGAGGCTATGTTTACTTTTGTGGTTAGGAAATAAGAGCATTTTGATAGTAAACTACTATTGAGGGAGGTGTTACTGCTACGGTTTCTTTAAGAGTTAACGCCAGTTATTGTCCTTCTACTATAAAAAATAGTGCAATTTAAAACTTCTACCATCCATTTCCCTCATGTGCTCCCTCTACCATTAGTTTATTTCGTTTGTCCTCCTTTACAATGCGAAAACATACTAATGTCGTTCCTCCATCCAATTTAAGCTAACAGTACTGTTTATTGACTATTTAAGTGCAAACGGTCACAAGTTTATGCCTTTTTTTAATCTTTTTTATGCCACTTGTGCCTTGTGGGACTCACCGTTGCCACATCATCTTGTGCCACATCATCTCTCACCCTTTAACTTTACTCTTTGCTGTTATTTTCCTCCCTTGCAAATCCAAGAAACCACCCAACAACTACCACCCGAACCGTTCGATCGTCCCTACCCACCCAGCCATGAACCCTCTCGATCTTACCTTCGTCTCAGTCCACAATAGCGCCAGCTTCGACCAGTCTCTCCATTAGATCTCCATGCTCGAGCTGGCTATCGCTACTAAGAACTTCTCATCGGATCTCATAATTGGTGACGGTAGCTTCGAACTTGTCTACAAGACCACTCTCTCTAACAACGTCACCATTGCCATCAAGAAACTCAATCGAGATGCCTTCCAGGGCCTGCATGAATTATGGGTCAAAATGGAAATGCTCGGGAAGCTTAGCCACCAGAACATGGTGAAGATTCTGGGTTACTGTTTAATGGGTCATGATCGAATTCTTATCTACGAGTTTCTTGAAAAAGGAAGTGTGGGCCAATGGCTGCATGACACGTCATCACCGGAGGAGCGCGAACTGGCAAATTGGCAAGCGTTGTTATCCTGGAGGACGAAGATTAAGGTCATAACAGTAATAGCTAATGGGCTGGCTTATTTACTTGGGCGAGACACACTCGTTATCTTGGAAGACGAACATTAAGGTCGTAAGATGAAGGCTAAGGCAAGTTCACGTCATGAGAGATGATGTGACAAGGGTGGGGTTCATAAGACACAGTGGCAAAAAAAGGGTTAAAAAAAGGCGTAAACGTGTGACCATTTGCATTCAATGAATAGTATCGTTAGCTTATATTATACGGAGAGACGACATGGGTATGTTTTTGCATTGTCGAGAGAGGATAAATGAAATTAATTAATAGTAGAGGGATGACATGAGGGAAATGGATGGTGGAGGGTTTAAATTGTATTATTTTTGATAGTCGAGGGATGATAGATGTCATTAGCTCTTTTTTTAAAATTAATTATTATATCTTTTATTTTATTTAAGAAATAAAAAATATAAAATTTTGAAAAAAAGTATGATATGAAAATATGATAAGAGATTAATATTCATAAGTTGAATTTATAAAAAAATTTAGATAAAAAAATACTTTAAAATTATATTATTTTCATAAAGTATTATGAAAGAGGCTAAAATATCTTTATTCTTAGTTTAAAAATAATTAGAATGTTTTAATCTTTTTTAATAACATTTTACTAAAACAACTTAATTTTAAGATTTTTTTAACCTAATTTTTTATAATACATATTACTATTCACTTTTTTTGATATAATAATTAATTAAATTAAAAGATTATAACATTAACAATATTAATTATTAACTCTTCAAATTGCAAAACCAACCGGTCATGAAACTTATTTATATATGAGCTATAGGACCACTCACAGAAATAGAGATTTGAAAAAAAAAAAAATACTAATTAAGTTTGCAAGAGAGATTTCAAATTGAATGGAAAAACTCAATCAACCCCCTTGTTATAAGTTTGCAGGTGAAGAATATCCAATCTTTTTCATTAACAGATTCATCTTATAATCTATAATGGTTTGACTTGCTCAACCGCTAGCCCTTACCAAAGTGTTTAACTTGGTCAAATTGAATGGGAAAACTCAAATTACCTGATTGTTCTTTAAAGAATATTATCTAAGTAGTTAAAATTTGGATTCAGTTCAAATAAAAAAAAATCTAATTGTTACTAAAAGATTATAAAAAATATGTAATGGTTAAAATATTGGGATATTGGTTAGTTCAAATGTTCAATAATAAAGTTTCATTTGGAAATATCTCTTGATGATTTAATTTTTTTATTTTAAAAATATATAAAATATTAATTAAAATAAATAATAAATAAATATTATATATTTTTCGATATTATAAAACCTAAAAAACCTATGGCTATAATAACAGCTAGCACTCTCGAATGCAGCGTAAGAGTATTTTGCTCATGTTGGTAAAAAACATAAAAAAAGTATTTTAATCATAAACAACTATTAATAACCAGATTTTAATTATCGACCATTTGTTTAATGTTGGGCGACCCAAAAAAAAGAAAAGAAAAGAAAGAAAACTATGAAGTTATTCTCAAACGGCCAAACTAAACAGAGCATAAAACTTATTTAACTAGTATGTGCTTTAGGACCAACTCACATATATAGAGATTTGAAATAGAAAAGTACAGATTCAGCGAATTTCGCCTCAGAGATTTGAAATTGAACTCAATCAACCTTCTTTTCTTATAAGTTAGCAGGTGAAGAATGTCTAATCTTTTACACTCACAGATTCATCCTATAATCTAAGTTGTTTTAATTTGTTCAACTGCTGACGAATGGGTTTAACTTGAATGGTAATCGATTTATGATTCTCTGGTGTGTACCTTATTCAATGATCATGTGCCGGGACTATCTAAATACAAAGCATGAAGCCACCGTGATGTATTTAGAGCATCTCCTTTGCTTTCCACACTGGAATGTCTTCCTACTGTTCTGCCAATCATTTGTCAGCTTAATCCACCACCTCCAACCATTCTGCTCAATCACACACCAAATCCCCTTGGCTTCACATGTGGTTTGTAGCACAAGTTTCTTTTAAATTATCCAATAAGCCAAGATCTCAAAAAACTTGAAACTTACCCTAAAGATTGTTGGAAATTGGCAATTTAAACATAAATCATTGGCTTCAAGGCGTGTTGCAAATGTCACTTTCCTTTATGCTAATTTTACCTCCACTAGATTTGGTATGCAAAAGGGAGTGAACCGAAATGTCATTAATATAGAATGAAGTGCTTTGTTGATCTTGCCTTTGCACTAGCAAGATCAACCACTAAATTGTCCTTTGAAAAGTGACAAAACAATAGTTTTTGTATAGAGATTTCTACAGCAATCACAATACAAAAGGAGCTGTTTTATTTAGATAATGATAGGGATTTGTTTTTGTGTTCAAGAGACGAAGAAGAAAATGAGATAACTCCATATTTATAGGAGCAAGATATCTATTGGGAATAGATGCTCTTTTTTAGTTTATTAATTAAAAATATTTGAGTTTTCATTAAGTTGATTCATTGGAAACTCTTCTAAAAGTCATTTGGTTTGATTTGAATTCTAACTCATGTGTTTCATCGCCTTCCAAAGTTATCCATTTTTTTTGAAAAATTTATCAAAATTCTATCTTTTATTTCTGATGTAAATGGTTCGAACTATGTAAATGTGGTTTGAACCAAAATCGTATTTTTTGACTTTGATTTTACGTAAACAATTCAAATCATATAAATATGATTTGAACCAAAATCGTACTTTCTCAAATACATTCTATGCAATTGCTTTGAATCAACTTTTTGTGGTTCAAACCTAAATCTTGAAACTATTTTGAAATTCTTCAACACTACATTATTTGTTCCTTGAAACAAATGAAAGGGAAATAGGTGAGCTTGTTTAAATGTGGATTAGAAAGGGGCATTGCAATAGACAATTTAAAGAATTCAAGAGAATTGCAGGGAACACTGTAATGTATTCAACTTAAGGTTTCTGTACAATGGATCGGTATATATAATTTACAATACATATTCAGATCCTAAATACATGCCTAAACTTATGTATATGACTGTTGCCTTAGTTATTCCTTAGTGCTTTGAATTGAGTGGTTTTTCTCTGATATATGTTTCCTTTCTTGCCATATCTGTTTCCTTCCTTTTCTGTTCTCTGATATTTGTTTCCTTTGATTCATCCTTCATACTCCCCCTCAAATTGGAGTGGGGTGAGGTGACCAACCCCAGTTTGAACATTAGCTTTTGGAATTGCGTACGAGGAAGAGGTTTACTTAAAATGTCTGTGAGTTGATCACCACTTGGGATATATCTAGTGACTAATGTGCCCAGTGCTACTTTTTCATGAACAAAATGATAATCCAACTCTATGTGCTTTGTTCGAGCATGAAATACAGGATTAATTGTCATATGTAAAGAATTGATGTTATCTAAGAAAACTTGAGGTGGATGAGGCAGGGAAATACCAATGTCACGTAACAAATAAGTAATCCAAACAATTTCTACTGTTGTAGATGCTAAAGCTCGATATTCAGCTTTAGCAGTTGAGCGAGCTATAGTTAGTTGTTTCTTGGAGGACTAAGAGATGCAGTTTGCTCCAAGAAAGACATAGTACCCTGTGGTGCTTCTTCTTGTAATCGGGCAACCTGCCCAATCTGCATCACAAAATCCTATTAAAGATAATGTACTATGAGAGGAAAC